CTGTATTGTTGTCAGTTAAATGGGATCATGAGTGTCTGAAAGGTGTTTGAGAATGAACTGAAAATCATTTTCACAAGTGGATGATTACTTCTGCCACATGTTAACCGAACTCTATCAGAGTGGCCCAGATTTTTGAGACTGCATTAATTGCTCTTTCAACCTTGACTGAGGTTTCTCTTTAAGAAAGGCCTTTGCTGGACTAAACTGCTACACGTATTGATTTTTCTTTCTATATTTTTTTCATTGTTTGTGATAAATGAAGCCTTTTACAAGTAGAGAATTTATCATTCAAAATGTAGATAGATTGCTTCATTCCTTAGAATAAAAAGGCTGGTCTAAAAATGATCTCTGTAGAAGGAGTAAGTCCATTCTCATTTCTCCCTCAGTGAATAGCTCTGGTATTCCACACACAATTATGCTTTTTCAGCTATTCATTAGTGCTGATTTTTTTCATCAAAATGTGGAACCCTGCTCTCTCACAGTGAGGTGAGGACTTAAAGCAAATAAGCTGCCATCTTCCCTCCTGTGTATGTCATCACGTAACTGAAACTGAACTATGATATTGAGCGACATGGTTTTGCATTTTGGTAGCACAAGAAATGTACTTTGAGAGAAATTCAAACTTTATGTAATTACAAAATGGTTATGCCCAGACTTTTGCAAGAAAATGTTTGTTCATTTTATTTGTTCTGTTTCTGGAGAAGAAAATTATACTGACTGAGATGAGATGATATATAAAACATTTTTATCTTGGTGTTTCTGTGTTTTGTAGTGGAAATGTAATTTCCTGTAATTTTATTTGTTTTCCAGGAAAACTACCTTTAAATATTAAATGGGAGTTTTTTTGTGCCATGTTGTAAGCAGTGAGGTATAATAATGTAATTCTGTGACATCATACAAATCCAATTTTTGGTTTTTTGTTTTTTCATTTGGGAGTGAGTGAAGAGAAAGAAAGCAGTATTAAATAATAGAAGAAAAGATTGTGGAACTGTTTTTAAAAGGAAAAGTCTCAGAAAAGTGATTGCATGGTTTGTACATTTAGTTGCATTTTCATGGTACTACAAAACATGTTAGAAAATTTTCACATTGGCGTGACACTTAATGACTTAATATATTTTCTATGTGATTAGTAAAAGCAGTTTATTAGTCCTAAGTTAGTGGAAATTATGTAATATAAGAAAACTGAAGAAGGCAACCACACGTGTAGTAACTATAAATATACTTTCTGATGTGCATATGTACAGACATAGATGTTATGTGTATGTATCTCATTTATTGTATATTTTTACAGAATAGAAGTCTGTCATCTATGTATGTTTCAATGTACATGAAAACACCAATCTTTTCTCCTTGTCAGAATAGTTCTTAAACATTCTCAAAACATGATCCTAAAGAGAAGTCAAAACAAATCTAAGCAGTTACTCTTATAGTGTTCAGATACAGGGGCAGTATTTCAGTGTCTTCTTTCCCTGTATATGGCTGAGCTTTATTAACTGAAGAATTATTTTAGATTATCCCAACTTTGGAACCCAAATGAGAGCAAGAAGAATTTTTAAAAATGATGTGCTTAGTATTTAGAGATATGAAACTGGCACTTCTGAATATCAGTTTCTTGTTTGTATTGCACGAAATCTTTTGCCTAAAGGTACAGTGTTTGAATGGCTGTTCTGTGTTTCTTGTTGCTGCTGAGGATGTTTAAAATAGTCTGAGCAACTGATGCTGTGCATTTTGTGTACATTACTTTGGATGCAGGGGGTGACTGTGGCTTCTGGGTGAATGCAGACACACTTATGGGTGGAGAAACTGCAGACTGCAGCTCTGTGAGTTCGTGACTGAAAGATTCTGTTCTGGTTTGCAGTACTGGCCTTCACCTGAGACTCAGGGACGCATTTGTCCATCTTAAAAATAGAACATTCTTCAGCTTAGCTCTGAGACTTAGCTCACTTCTGAATCTGTTAACCTGTTAATTTTCTGCTCCAGTTGTGAAACCCAAGTGTCATTTAATTGTGAAAACTGGCTACTGTAGATTTTTTTCCGTTCTAGACCTCAACAGCAGTTTCTACTGATCCTAGATGTTACTGTCTATATATAGGAAGGTTCTTGAAGATTCTTAAGTCCTTTGCTTCCCTTTTTTTCTTTTTCTTTTTTTTCCCCTCCAAATAGAAAACGAATGAGAAAGGCTCAAAGAATACTCTAGAAGCCTAGGTGGGTCCTTCCACCTAAAAATGTTAGACTCTTGACTAAGAATTAATCTCTTTATCTTTCAGGAGCAGACACACTTAAGATGAGCACAGGATATATCCCTTGTAGATGGCTGAAACTTTAGAAAAAAATTGGTACCATTAGAGATGGCACTGGAAGAGGGATTAATAACATAACTGTGTGTTTATAGTGATTGGTAAAACCAGACAGCCTAAGTCTTTGCATTTCTATACTAAATCCCAGCTTTGTGTAATGAATATTATTTTCTGTGTTACCTGGTCTTATGTAAGATCTGTGAATTTTAAATTTAGGTAGTTAATGTTCTGCTCCTTTGTTTCCCAAGAAAGCTCTTATTTAGTACCATAGTTGGAAGTGATTTATAGGAGGAATAAAAGTGCACATTGCTATTTAATTTCTTTTTGCGTGCTTTATTATTTTATAATTTTTAATTTACTGTACCTTGTATTATTTCTGCCTGTATTGCAGAACTATAGATGATATATCTTAAATGAAGAACAGTTTAAAAGACAGCCAAGTGATATAAAAACATCATATTTTCTTTGATAAAAAATGTTCTTTTAAGACATCTTATTTTAAAAGCACATTTCTGGAGCAAGATCAGTTAATAATGAAAAAGAATTAGCACAGAGTTTCTAAGGTTGGGTTACTCATTCTCTGATGTGCAATAAGCAAGAAGTGTTTGTTAATCTATGGTTTCTATACAGTCAATTAAGAATGCCAAGAGGGTGGGAACATGGTCAGGATATCTTTGTACTGTAGTTTCAGAGGACTTGGTATTTGCAACTGGGTTTTCAAAATACAGTTTCAAAATGGGGCAGTTACCTTCTCACATATATCAAAAAAACCTTCACGGTACTCCAGGGGATGCAGGGGGATGCAGTGGCAGAATCACCATGAAGAACAGGGCAGTCCTAGGACTGAGAGAGACCAAAGGCCTGTGGACTTTTTTACTTTTCTGCCTCCAGCCATTAAGCTTTGAGGTTATGTGAAATTCATAATTTAATTCCCCTCCACCCTCTGACAATAGTAAGAGATTAGCATGGCAATAGCAATATTGTGTGCTTTGGGGAAAGCTAATGCTCTGAAACATATATGAAAACAGTTTGTGTTTTGTAGGAGAATGTGTGACCATAAGGCTGTGAGGTAAATGCTTCCTTAGTTGCAAAAAATTATAAATTTTAAAATATACCCTGGTAGGTCCTCTTTTTTGTACCCTTTCTGGCATAACTCTTACTCCTTTATTTTCATTGAATTTAAAATAGTCGTAGAATTAAGAAGTTAAAAAGAGCGTGGCAAGATCTGGACTATTCACATAAGGCTACATCAATTGGTAATTGTGTACACAAAGGCAATTTTTTTTTTCTCATACAAATGAAAAGCAGTGTAACCAAGTAAGGTAGACCTTCAACACACGTGTAGCAGAAGTTGAAGAGTTTCTGTTCTTCTGTTTTCATAATAATAAGAAGGGAGCCACTACATAATCTGACAAACAACAATTGTAAGCAGTACACTGAACATTTATTTTAGACATAAATTTGTTCTTTGTGATGCCTAATGAGAAAATGTTCTTGAGAGTACAGCCAGGACAGGTGTAAAAAAGTTTTTGCCTTTATCTTTCTTAGTAATTTCACATAAACTGTTGGTTTGTTGCTCTGTTTTTTGACTGAGGTGCAAACAGGCAGCAAAGCCACAGAAGTGAGTAAAGGGCAGCAGACCATATTCTCTTACCAGAGAGGCCCATGTTCATCTGACCAACCATCTCTCATCCTAATTATTATAGCTGCTTCAAAATGTGTGCACTGGCATCCTCTGGAGAGTGCCCTGTGAAGCCAGCATCCCCTGGTCTGAACAATCACTGTTCTGCTTTGACCAGCCTAAGCTGTACCAGATGTCCTTGACAGAAGCTGGCCAGCCAGAAGGGACTTCTCATATGTAATATTTTGCTCTCCTGTCAGGTTTTAAGCAGGAGATCCTTACCACTCATGGGCTCTTGCTTACAATCTCACAGCTCATCCTTTTCTTCTTGCTGTCTTTGTTAACAACAGTGCAACATGACCACGGGGACAGAAAAAGTGTTGCTGTAATGCCAGAAAATTCACTCCAAATTCTTGGGTAATGAGTGTGCTCTCTCTACCACCAAACAGCATCAGCATCTGTGGTTTTCTCTTCTCACTGGTTGATACTCCTGATTATGTTCTCTGATTCAAAGCCCGGAAATTGCTAAAGTGACAAGGAGTTTTTGTAATCTAAGAGCCTTTATAGTGAAGTGCTTCTGTTTGGGAAATTAGATTCTACTTTACTCTGAAAAAAATTTAATCTTGTGTGTCTGCTGACATTGTGTTATATGTGCATTTCATCACACTATCTCTGGGACTGACTTCTCACAGACTAAATAAACACTAGCAAATCTGTGGAAACCAAATGGAATAAAAACTGTCAGGAACGTCAACTTTTATTACAATAAGTATTTCTGTGTAGTCAAGAGTGTTCTACTTTAAGGTACTTTTGATAAAATTGGTGAAATAAAAAGTGATAATCAGGTTAATCTTTGCAAACATGAGATCATTTGTTTCTGATTTTTGTCTTAAGTGAAAAGGAATGTCTCTTTGAATTTTTATGATAAGAGTAAATAGAAGAAAAATCACTTTTTACATATGACAACACTGAAGAAACAGCTCAGTAGACAGAGTAAATTAATACAGAGATTTTTGTTTGGTCCTTTAAATGTCATGCTTCTTATTAATTGAAAACCACTCCCTTTATTATTTCTGTTGCAGGTATTTGTATGCTCTAGGACAGAAGGTTTGGAAGCGGTGGAAAAAACGCTATTTTGTCCTTGTTCAGGTTAGTAGCCAGCCATGAAATTTCTATAAAATATTTCTTGGACTATAAATTATGTATGATTTCTGGAATAGTTTGTAAATCAGTATCTTCAGGCAACACGTGCAGTACTACTCCAAGCTTCTTGCAGAACAAAGGCATCCACATTTTATTTTTTTTTTTAATTTGTAGACCTAGTAAACAGAAATGTTACCGAGTTTTACAGATATATATAAATGGGTCTCTACACTGAGCAATGTTTCAACTGAAACCTATAAATTTCTGGATGAAATTTTTGTGAACTTGTAATAGTCTGATGACAGCTTTTTACCAGCACTCAATTTGAAATAAAGTCATATCTCACAAAATGGGTTGTACTTACTGTTTAATTTATTCTAGCTCAGCAAATATTTCCTGTCTTTGAAATTAAAGCAACAATACTTATATTAAGAACTTTTTCTGATTTTTTTTTAAATAATGCTATTTTTTCCTTCCTTGTAACACTAAATTGGGTAAAATTATATAATTGTTACATAAAATATGGTGCAGTAGTTGTTCTTGGCCACAAAAATGTGCCATGCTCATATTTTATAACTTCTTGTCCAAACCCGAACTGTTAGTATTTTCACATGCTATTGAATGCTGATATTGACTTGAGATAAATAGAAAAGTAAATTTTGAATGGTCAAAACAGAGAAATTAATGATTTTAGGGAGTCTTTGGGAAAAAGTAATTGTTTTCAGTTGGTGTTTGTCTTCAGATTACATTTGATGTTCTTCAGAGTGAGTTCAGAGAATATTCTTCTGACTCCTTTGTGTTATTGACAGGAAACTCTTAAAGTCTGAGTCTCCATAAGTATCATATAAAGGCTGAAGTCTGTTAATGAGCAGTGAGTTCAGAGAATACTCTTCTGTCTCCTTTGCTTTATTGACAGGAAACTCTTTAAAGTCTGAGTCTCCATAAGTATCATATAAAGGCTGAAGTCTGTTAATGAGGCTTTTTAAGAACAAAAACTTCTAAAACTACTTTAAAGAAAAGAAAGCCTCATTTCTTTATCACTCCATCAGTCACACTCACTTGGTCTCCTAATATTCTTAAGTGATTAAAATCATAAGGTTGTAGAAAAAATAATTACTGAACAAGTGCTTTATTAATGTTAACAGCCAAGAATATTTGAAGGAGATTCCGTAAAGTCTACAGAATTCATTTGGGTTCTGATTTTACTAAGGTCCTGTGTGAAGATATGAGGACATTTTGCGACTGTTAATATTTGTTGGGAAGATCTCTGTATAGGATAGCTGTCAAGGCATGGCTGTGAACAGAAAATAATTTCAAGTTGCAAAGAAAAACAGTAAGACTACATGCTCCCTTGTCCTTTATGCTTTTCTTCAACACTCATCCTACTTGTCAGTCCTTTCACAGAAAGAATGAATTTGTTCTTTTCCTCTAAGCCACAGGTGTCATCTGATTTTTAAATTGTACATCTAAGAGAGACACAGAGTCTTTATTCTTGTGCAATATGGAACCATCATCTGGGAGACTGGTTTATTCCAGTCAAGTTAATTTTAACTATTTTCTACTCTCTATGCTGAAATTGAAATACTGGAGGAGAATATTACAGGAATTTTCCTACTGTGATGGGATTTAGTAATCCTTTTCATTTTAAAACAGCTATCAATTCAATAAAGCTATATAAAAATACAATGTTAAATCAATATTTACTGTCCAGACAGCTCTGGCTCATTTATATAGTCCTGCTGTGATACATTCACTGGCAATAAGCTGAAGTCAATACATGTGAAATAAGCATTCAAAGCATTCAGTAATGGACCAGTCTGTTGTATTGATATATTATTGACATATTGACAAGCCCTCCTCTATATATTAACTTCTAGCTTACAGTAGTAAAACATCAAGGGCGTGAAATTCAGTGCTAAAACAGAGGCTACCAGTATGGTTTACACACACTTTGAAAATTTAACTCAGTTGTGACATTAGATGAATAGTGTTGACTTTTTCAGAGTGTGATGTGAGTAATGTGCACCTTCATTATTGCTGCACCTTTTACAAGTTGTTAGTGGCTTCTGAAGGAACAGATCAATGTTATAGAAAGGTTACAGTATCTGGAAATTTTAACCTCTTCATTTTATTTTATTTGTATCCTTTAGTATCCAGTCACTTCTCTAAAAGGTTATTAATTTAAACCAGAAAAAGACAGGGACATAACATGGTTGGTAAAAAGCCTCCATCAGATCTGATGTGTTTTACTTAATTTACTGTCTGATATCTTCCTCCAGTAATTGGAATGCAGATCCACTACTGTCCTTTTAATTTCACCTGGTCAAATGTTTGAAAAGTCAGTCATTTGTTTCATGGATAGTTTTTTTCTAAACACACAAACTGCGCGGGCTAATTCTAGCTGCTGGACACCTGGAGTGGGCAGCCCAGGGATGGCCTGTAGCAGACACCTCAGCATCAGCTCCAGGTGTGCAGGGACTCTGCCTCCCAGCACATTGAACAGGGCCTTTGTGCCCCGTGGGGACATCCCTTAGTGACATTCCTTGTAAGTCACAGTCACACTTCCACATCTATCTGTCTGTCATAAATGCTTAGGTTGTTGGTTTTCCCTTTTGTTGCAATACAGGTAGTACAGCTGGTAGTCAGGTGTTTGGACATCTGGAAAGTAACAAAATTCAAGTTAATGCACTTGTAGGAAGAGGATTGCCTTTTATTCTGTCAAGATTATCCCTCAAGAGGACAAACTGAATCTGTTTTTGGCTGAGAATGTGTTGTACATAACCAGGAGACTTTTTAGTACTCATTATTCTATGAAGTATTTATGCTAATTTGGTGAATTCTTAGGCAAAGCGGATTATAGCTCCATTTGCTACTAATAGTACTCTTAAACTCAGTCATGATTCTATATTTAAAAGTGTTATTTCAGACTGTGCTGGTGATTCTTCTTGTAGCAACTGAGAGCAGCTACTAATGACCATAAGGGAAAGGGTTTAGGAAACTTCAAGTGTAAATAAATGAGGCAGGTTCTGTATTTCTTTGTTCTGTTGAGGCTTTTTTCCCCAACAAAATTTTCTTGAATTTTTTCTGTCTTTTTCTTTGGTGAAGAAAGTTCAAATTGTCTCATTTTCAACAAAAAGATGAAGTCATCTATCGTGACTGATTGTTCCTTTAAAATAAGAGAACATATTTGCAATATGTTCAATAAAATAAAATCAGCAGCATTATAATGTCTGTCTTGTTACAGTGATAAGGTTAAAAATGAATAAATATACATAGCCCAGATCTTACAGAAGTTTTTCTTCAAAAACATTCAGTAGTGAAGAAATCTGAAAAATATTGGCATCCTATGCATTTCCATGATTAGAGCTTACTAGCTTCCCTTTTGATGGCTGAGATTGCCTATACAGTGTGGTTATGTGGAATTGTTGACATCAAAATGTGAGAGATGAATGTGGGTCCTTGCCAGCTTATTTCATTCAAGCAAATGGAATAAATTGAAAAATGTTTTTACTACAGTGCCAAGTATCAAAAATTAAAATTGTAGATTCAGTTTACAGAGAAAAAAGAAAAGAGAAAAGAAAAGAAAAGAAAAGAAAAGAAAAGAAAAGAAGAGAAAAAAGAATCAGGAAGCTGTCATTAAATATAATGCTAATTGCAAAGGATTTAGAATTGTGTGACTAGCAAACAGCTCCTTCCATGCTTGTCCATGACGGCAAATGTGGCTGTGGGACAATAAGCAGGGAAGTGCCAAGCAGTGTCAGAGGTGATGCTGCTGCCAGCCTAGAGCAGAGGGCATGGCATAGGGATGAGCCCCATGTCAGGGTCCCCTCCCAAAGGAGTCCACCAGCCCTGGCTGTCTCTGCCCACAGCCCAGACTCCCATTTCAGCCTCCTGGGGTCATCATCCCCAGCCCCAGAAATGCCACGGCAGGGCTAATCTCCAGTTCCCCACATCCCAGTCCATCCTTGGCCTGTGCCCAGGGCTGGGGCTGGGGCTGGTTCTCCTGCTCACAGCTGGACCCTGTATTCAAGGCACAGAAATTAGACTATAAAAATCAAACTGAAGGTTTTGATGCTTGCCATCATTAGCTAGAATTGGCCAGATTATACGTTTGTTTTTGCAGTTTCATGGTAATTGTGCCACTTGTTCTGCAAACATTACTTTTATACATAAAAGTTCTTGTTTTCTCAGTTTTTTGGAATGTAGTTATTTTTTCCTCTTACAAATACTGAGTAATTTGGTCAGTACCATAATACTAAGTATTTTCACTACCAGAATCTAAATGACTTCCCTTCATTTTTTCATAAAACACCAGCCCAAAATGTATTTCGTGAAACTGCGGAGAGGCGTGTTTGTGGGTTATTTGGACTTTTTTTCCTTCATTTTGGCACAAAGGGGAAAGGAGAAGAAATTTTACACTGTAAATACTTCTGGGAAAGGAAAAAAAAAAGGTGATTTCTTAATTCAATGCAAATGAAAACTAATTTGAACCATGGTACATTTGTTATACAGTTCTGAAATGAAATTCATTAATTAAGAAGTCTTTTCTTATTCAGGTTAGCCAATACACATTTGCAATGTGCAGTTACAGAGAAAAGAAGTCTGAGCCTCAAGAACTGATGCAACTGGAAGGATACACTGTGGATTACACAGCTCCTCACACAGGTACTTTCCATTATTTTGAAGTAGCACAGTGTATTTGTGTAAAAGAACTGTTTCAATTTGCTTGTTTTGATCTAGCAGCAAAAACTCCCAAGGTTCTTTGGCAAAAAAAAAATCCCAAGATTCTTTGGCTATTATTCCACTAGGACATTCTGATGTGAAAAATCATGCTTTTAGAAGTAAGTTTGTTGTAAGACTAATGAAAAATAAGCTTTACACTAAAGTTTCCTGAAACATTGTAAGATCACATATAATACAAGGAGAAAACCCCTTTTCTCTTTTTGAGGGTGGTGGCATGTGGCAGTATACTGTGAAGTATATTCATAAATAATTTAGAAAAGACAAATTATGACAATGCCTGTGAAGGACAAGTTACTCATAGTAATCAAAAATAAATTTGGAAATATCAGAAAAATCTCCATAAGTTCATATTAAAATGGAAGAGGGATATCACATGCAGAGAAAAACAATTCTGCCTATGCAGCGGAGGACTACGAAATTAGGAGACTTCTGAGACATTAAAGATTGATCTTTGAAAATGTTGTGTCAATGTTTAGAATAATGGAGAAGGCAAACAATGATCAGAAGACATTTGGAGAGACGGAGCAATTCTGTCAAAAAAAAATCCCAGCACAGCCATGTTGACTGTTGTGTCCTGTTCTCGTTACGTGCTCTCAGAAAAAAACACTGGAATGAGAAAAAGGACTAAGGAAGAGCAGCACTGATAAAGGATATGGAGCTGTCTCTGTTCAATAGGAGATAAAGTTGAGAGGGATTTCCAGCTAATAAAATAATACCAGGAAGGAGAATATGTTAAAAAAAAGCAAAATAGCATATGGCAGAGAGAAGATGAATAAGAAAGAAGTTGGAGCTGAATTTAAAGTGGAGTCATGTAAATATTTTCTCCTGTGATTTCTACATTTATTCTACTTATGTTACTTCTATGTATTACCATTTGATCCTTATAGCTCTAGATTTATCTTATTTCTAGGTGATAAATACCTATAAAATGTTTCAACACACCCCTCCACACACACACATACTATGAGTAAAACCAATAATGTAATACACATTGATGGTGATTTAGAAGTAGCTTGTATTTATCAAGATTACCTTCTTATTTACTGCTTCAGGTCTTCAGGGTGGTCGGATGTTTTTCAACGCTGTTAAAGAAGGTGATACTGTGATATTTGCCAGTGACGATGAGCAGGATAGAATACTCTGGGTTCAAGCTATGTACAGAGCCACAGGTCAGTCCTACAAGCCTGTTCCTGCAAGTCAAGCTCAGAAGATGAATCTTAAGGGAGGCAATGCCAACACAGATATATCCCCACTTTGTAAGTTGGCTTTTCTTTTCTTTTGTGGCATTGGTTTTGGTTTTTACTGGTAAAATATGTAGCAGTTCCCTCAATGAAGTTTAATTAAGCAGAACTTATTCACTAGGCAAATGTGTCTAGCCCTTCATTGTTAGCCAGAAGCTCTTTAACTCAGATTATTATTAACAACAAGGGAAATCCTGACTTGCAGGTCATTATTTTTATTATAATCCATGAAAATACAGCAATTAGCTTCATATTCCTTACAATTGACCCATATATTACCATGGAGACGGTGTTTGGTTTGCATTATATTTTTCATTAGTCAGCCAGTGTAGTGTTGAATAGAAAAGCGTCAATCTATTCTCACAATTTTATAGATTTAGGTCAGCTTTATCATTCATTATATGTATTAGTTACCAAAAAATTGCTATGCAGACTGTACATTGTGAGTTGAAAGGCAATAGATGGGCTCCTGGATTTTTTTTGGCACATACTGTAATATTAAATTACATATAAAAAATTCTTTAAATTATTCAGGTTTAAATTTTCATCACCATTCTTTGAGGAAAGTATGGCTTCAGAGAAATTGAGGTAGATAGCATATATTAAACATATTTTAAATTTTCATATTATCTCTTTGAAAGTATTCTGTCATGTAGATATCTGCACAAAGGAAGCTTTTTTTATGTTGTTACAGAGGCTGAGTGCAATCCAATGACCTTTTTAGTAGCCATCAGATTTCTGGAACATCATATGATTATTATACAATAATCCTTCTTCATTATCATATAACCATACATGCATAGTGTTAGAAGGGAAACATGGTTTAAACTAAACTTGGTTTAGTGTCTTCAGTCTGTGGCAGGTTGATCCAAACCCATTCTCTTCCCTCAGTCCTGCTATCACTCAGTCTCATGACCCTCTAATCTTATATCAGTTTGCTTTTAGAAAACTGTAAAATGTGCTTGTTAAACTTAGTAATATTTATCTAAAATCCTGAGGAGCTCTCAATGTCATTGAGCTTTTCAATGTCAAGATAATTTTAAAAAGTTTAATCTCACAAAAGCACTGATATCTGTTTTTCGCCTGAAACAATTTGGAAGGGCACTTTGTCAAGTAATCTTTCATTATGGGGACACTAAGGTGAAGTAGGATGGAAGTAATATTGCAAAAGCAAAGGTGGGGCAACAGCCAAGTGCTTCTGCTCACCTCCTCACAATTCCCTGGATTTGTGCTGGGTGGTGGGAGTTCACTGTGTTCCTGCCTAATGTCCCTACGTCATGTGCATCATTTAGAAAGTACAAAAGAAGTGACCACTGGCAGCAACAGCCAGGGACCTGCTCCTGGTTTCGGACACAGTGTTTACCTGGAAGGGAAAGCAGCTAACTCTGACCACGGGGCAGTGAAAATTATAGAAAGAAAAAAGTACAAAAAACAATCACAAATTTGGAAATGCTGAAAGTGTGTTTTCAGAGATAAAATTATTGATAATGTTAAAGAATTAAACAGCAAGATTGTCACGTCTTGATATTATTTTAGACATTATTTTAGAGGTGCTACAGTTCTTAGGTGGAAACCACAGAAAAAGTAAGCATTATTTTAAAGATGTTTTAAGGGAAGCTCAAAAGACTAAAATATAATGTATTTATCTGTCACACTTATGTATCTATTTGCACCAACTCACATGACAGAACTCTATGTAAAGCAAATTCTCTGTTTAAATTATTATTTTCCTTTGGGTTTAATATACTTCAATGCTGATGTTTTGTAATAATTCACAAAATAATTCATAACTTATAATAATTCATAAATTTCTTTGCAATAGAGTAGCTTGTGGAATTTAATTTAATGTGATATTTAGAACCATTGTTTGACTGATTTCTGTAATACCCCAGTTCTCCCTAGATGAGGAAATTCTGTCTCTTATACTTGAGGTAGAAATGGGCATAATCAAATTAATCCATTTTTAAGAAACTTCTGGAACCGGGGTTTTCAGATATAATCTTAAATAATTTTCTAAGCATCCTACTTCCTTTAAATATATACTGTCCTGAGTTTCTTGAGGCATAGTTTTACTACTAAGAAGACTCTATAGCTGACCTTTTGTCACATTTAAATAGATTCAGTTTCACGAGAAATTAATTTTCTTTTCCCCTAGAAAAATGTTTACATGAAGCTAAGTGTCCTTTATTTTTAATCAAGATATAACACCACGTGCTTGAGAGATGGCATATATATTAAATGAAATAAATTTTCAAGTTTTTCCTCTTTACTGTGGTACATTTTTAGTATTAGGAAATACAGTTTTGAACAGATAATTTGTCAGTTACTATTTTTATGATTTTTAGTTTCCTATTGATGCACAATTTAAGCATTTCCAGCCAATAGGAGATCACATTGTTTTATTTTCTGCAGTATATCATGCAATGACATCTCCACATACAGAAAACAGAAAACCAGCTTGGGCTTTGCAAAACAAATGTCAGTTAATGGCATTCAAACCTCAAAAGTCTGTCTCTATTTTCTTTTTCCTCTAAGATGAAAAATCAACTCACCCTGATAAAATGTTCCAAAAGAATTTTCAATAACTTGGAGAAAATTAAATATCTTTAAACTGCAAGATGTAGAAAAAAGTCAACTTGAGGAGAAATGTTTCAATATTTTTCTGTATTGTACTTAAAAATATGTTCTTTCATCCTGAAATTTCCTTGATAGCTGTAGAAAACATCCGAAAGTGGTATTTAACAGAATCAAACTACTGTTGTACTTGTCCAACTTCTAAAATGTATACCAGTCAATTTTTTCATCTCTAAGTAACTTGGTATTGCAGTGTTGTGGTATTAGGTGACTCCAAAACAAAAGTGAAGACAGGCTAATGTCAGCAATGATCGAGAAAAGGACACTGACCTTCAGATCCACTGTTCTGCATAAGCATGTTGAATGAAAGAATAGAATCTTTAAGGATGCATGACTGTAGAATAGCCAGAAGTTTCCCAAGGACATTAATGTTTCAGGGAAAGCACCAATGAAAAACAGATTCATTTAAATCACATAAAGGTTCAGGAAGTGATCCCTTTTTTAATGAGCAATGTATTAGGAGATATATTCATACAGTTGAAAAGGCTGCTGGAGTGCTTAGCACTGCTAATAACTTGTTCGTAGCACAGGAGTTAGGAGCAGCACGTGAGGGGATTGTCATGTCTTAATGCAGAAATACAAAGCCAAGCATCATTCTGAACCTACAACCTCATGAGTTCAGAGGGGTGAAGAGACAATCTCTTGCAATTAATTTTATTTTTAGAAACAAAGAAGTCAAAGCTATTTTTTTATTTGACATAGTTTTCTTGGCAGGTTTGGCAGCTTTATGTCCGCCATACCCTTTTGCCATTTGGAAGACTGGAGTAACTCCCCCCTCCCTGCATGTTTCCCCATTCCCCTTTATGTCCATTTCCTGCTTACCTCCAACCATCCCCATCTCCCTTTTAGAAAGAAAATGTTTACACCAGCCCTCCACCACCTTAGGCAACCAGTAAGTCATCTGTATTTTCTCTTCTGTACTAGTCAGGAACATGTAAAAACTATCTGCAATCTTCTTCAAATTTGCCCTTCAACAAAATACTGGCAGTCAGTCAGTGTGGTATCCCCAGCCTGACAGTCAGACCATATGGGCCAGCTGCTTTCTTATTCTCTGCCACTTTCTCTACAGAAGTTATTTCATGGCCTGATACCTAAATTATAAAGTTCTGGGGTCACAGATTGTCTCTTTGGCCTGTGTAGTACTTTGGAGTCCTGGTCAATGATCAGGAGTCAAAATGTTCCCAGTGTAAGCTGTCACCATCTGTCTGGAGTGGCACTTGAAGGAATGTAATGCATGTCTTACCACTGTCTTTTCTGACCAGTTCCAGCCCCTTCTGGAACAGAGTCACGGTTCTTACCCTACTAGTCTTAGTCTTTAAATCTTTTTAATCCCTACAATACTAGATTGCTTGCCTCTACCTTCTCTTCTTTCCTGCTTGCCTGAGGTAGTTCAAATTGCTTTTACAATGCTTAAAATCAAGCAGAGATGTTACCACAAAGAGGAGTGGGTCACCACTCAGCAAGGCCAGTACCTGTAGCTCACCCTAGCACAGAGTAGATGATGCAGGAAATGTGTGTTTGCTTCTAGGCTGGAATGGGGCAGAGATGTTGTGCAGGATGCTAGAACCACTTTGGAGTATGCCTTAAACATGAAAATCTTGGCAGTTTTAATTCAGTCAACTCTGTGTGAACCAAGTCACTGAGGATGGGATGATTTTAATGCCTTTGCAGCTGGACTAAAATTTAAAGTTTCTTGCAAAGATGCCAAAAGGCATAATTAGAATGCTGTTCTGCCCTAATGAATATGTTTGTCTGAAAGAACACCCAAAGAATGTGCTAAAACTCCTGTAATAGCTTTTGTTAGTTTTTAACATCACTTGAAAATATATTTATTTGTCCTACCTTGATTTAAAAAAAAGGGTAGTTTCTAAAAGATGAAATACACAGCCTGTAACAGGCTGTGCAACATGGAAATAGCAGCCGATGATTTTAAGTTAAAGGCAACATGGAGAGAATGGCAACAGATTTGATTAAGAAGGGAAGAAAACCTAATTGTGAAAAAGCAAGAAAAACGTCTTCCCAATAATTTCGAAGATTGAGAAAGTGTAGTGAAAAAATGAATTTAACTGTACGACAATAGAGCTCCTTATATGCCTTTTGCATTTGCATGTTGTTTGAACAGGACATCTAAAGCTCATTTATGTAAGAATTTGAAAAAAGCAATCACTCTAACAATTTTTAAGGTAGAGTCTTGAGTAATTTTTTTTAGTCACAGTCATATACCATTTATGAATTCCTCATGATCTTTGCTCAAATTCTTAATTTTTTTAAATTCCTTTTTGTTTGAAAATATTTGCCAGTTATCTTGTTTTACATCATAGCAATAAACAAAAATGTAATGTATTACACCAGATCTATTTTTCTGTTATTTCCTGCTTGCCTACAGCTGGCAAAGGTAAGTTTTTAGTTGTTTTTCTGTTGCTTAAATATATTTGGTAACAGATCTTCTGTTACTGTTTGACGATGTTATTTTTACTACTTGATTTACTCAAAAAGATTATCAGTCATGGATCTTTCTTTTAGAATTAAATCTAGCAATTATTTATACTTTTACATCAATATTTTTGCTTATTTTACCCAAATTATGTAATAGTAAATTCTGCCTTCACAAGCTGTATTGTGTTCAATAGGTCACATTACTCATTATGATCATCTGGATACTGTATCAGTGTGCTGGATCTGTTTCATTTGCAGCATCCAATCTCATGATTTCAAAATACTTAAATTACTTGTCAGTACTTACACCTTCTCTCTTGAAAAGTGAGATTTTTTTTATATTAGTGTGGTTAACCAGAGAAAAAAACCAAAATGTTATTTTAAGAATGATTCAGCTCTGCATAATTTTCTAAATGATGGCAAAAAGAAATATTAATACTTTCTCTTTTTGTCATATGTCTTACTATGAAAAATGTTTGTAGTATATGATAAACCTGATATAGGAGGAAGACTTATAAGAAATGCTGAAATCAGTCACTTTCACATTAAATATAATCGATTTTAAAAGAGTTTTATCTGTGTTTGGATATTTTGGAAGCTACAGATAACTTCATATGTTGTTCAGTACTTTTGGTAATGTAGTTGTGTTGACGTCAGTTGTTTATGTTTGAATTAATGTGTTTAAATACAGTTAAATTGCACTAATTGAGAGAGCATTTCCTCTACCTATGTCAAAAATATGAGCTAGGTTTGTCATTAATGATAGGCTAGTCTAATGCCCATTGAAATATTGCTAATCTATGTAATCACATATACTATTTCAAGCATTTAAAATACGTGCTGCTGCTTCTCTGGGGTGATGGTCTCATACCTTACACCATCAACATATTGTCATACTGTTTATTTGCTACATCCACCTTGGTGAAATCTGTCACATGGATGTGACTCTTGCTTTGACAATGCAAAGCCAAGTGATATGAATTAGTTTCTGCATCTTTCTAGGATTTGATGTTGCAGATCCTTCAGCTTGAATTAAATAATTCTCCCATCCACAAATACAGCTGAAAGTTGGACTTGACATGGATCAATATGATCTGGGGCTAAATTTCTAAATGTGACTGATTATGTTAGCATCATGCCCACAGATCAATATTGAGTTTTATTATGAACCTGACTCTATAATTGGGTTTAATCAATAAACTTTTGTCCCCTTTCTTTAGAAATTTTAGATTTCTACTATGCAGGTTTTCAAAATTGCATTTAGGATACACTTAGATCTATACTTTTCTGGTAACGAATATAAAAAGACCTGGGTTTGAATCTAAAGGAACAAAGAGCTAAGACCCTATTGAAAGGGGAAGTCAATTTTTAAGTTGATAGGACTGTTCACCCCACTACAGTCTATAGAATCCAAGACAGCTAATGTGCTAATACGTAACTAGTCCTTTTGGGCACTGTAAGGCTTTTTCTGTCCATACTAGATAGATAATTCACATTGAAGACTTTGACAAAACATAACATTAATGAAAGCAATCACTAGAGCTTCTCTTTTGATAAACCCGCGGGGTTTAAAGGCGTTGAAAAATGCAATCTGTGAAGAACAATAAATTTGGGCCTTTGATTGAAGTGCCATTTGGGATGGTATGCTTTCTCAATGTATTTACACAAAAATGCTGCTCCCTTTTTCAGTACACTTTGCTGGAAGGTTGAAGGAGCTCTTTGCCATTACTACATTAAGGTTCGTCTCATTAAAAGCTGAGTACAAAAAGAAGGCTGGAAATGACCTAGCTCAAGCCAGTGTGTTCATTTCTGCTCCAGTTTGCCATTTGAGAAGTAGGCTTCAAGCCATGATGAATATTTCTATTAAGCAGTACTTTGAACTGCAGTAAAGATGCTCTTTCTTTTCTGAAGAAATAAATGCATAAACTTGGAGTTCTTTTTTTTTTTCTTTTCCTTTTTTTAAATATTTTGTAGTTATTTTGGTAAAATTAGAAAGAGAGACATATTAAATCAGGAAATTACAGAATATTTTTCATTTCTACTCATAACGTTGTTTTTAAATTGAAACGTTTGCATAGCCCACTAGAAAACAACACTTTAATACTTTTTTCATGTGCTGTGTTATGTTTTCTGGCAGCCTTTCTAAATTTTGGGTTCTCTGTCAGTGGGTAGCAATTTTTATTTCACTGTTACACTCCATAAATTGGTATGATTGATAGAAAAATAATTCAGTAATAATATTTTCAGATTAAAAGATCAAGATTCTATAATAATTCACCTGCAAGTATCTCTCTATATGAGTTATTTTTTTGAGATATTTTCAAGAAAGCTTAAATATTGGGACTTATATGCCATGCGTACACTGATGTTTGTAAGTCTGAGCACACACTCACATGTATTGTTCTGCACATTTTTCCTTTGTATAACAGATACAGACCGTGGCCAGAAACATGGCATGGATGAGTTTATTTCTGCTAATCCCTGCAAATTTGACCATGCTTCCCTCTTTAGACTGCTTCAGAGACAGACCTTGGATCACAGATTGAATGACTCCTATTCTTGTTTGGTGAGTACTGGCTGGAAGATAGATATAAAGAAGTGAGAAATAGTTGTTACAAAGTAGTCCTTTCTTCCTTTTTCATTCAGCAACTGCAGTTGTAGGTGGAATAAAGGGTCCAATCGATTGGTTTTAAATTTGAAAATTGCATACTTGCAAGCGGCTGCTGTGCCACTCAATAGAAAGCAAAGAGACACAAACTGTCTTCAATTTTATCAGCTAAATTTATCATGTTCTCTGGGGAGTTTGAATAAAAACAGAAAGTTTTGACTATAGCAAGAACTCCTGTGGTAGAATTTACTGACACCTGTACAGGCATTTTAAGGTCTGAATGTAGTTGCCTCGGCTCAGACAATTTCACCTGTCATATAATTCTTCATTCCACTCCAGTGTGAAGGAAAAGCACCAAAGAAGGGAGGCAGACCCATAAACAATATAGATACATGGGCATATATGCATTACCTGAACTGCATGTAACAAAGGGGAGTATAGTCATTAAACAAAAGCAAATAGAATGTGATCTCTGTATCAAAAGGAATGTTTTCCACATTCAAATACCATCATTACCATTGTAAAAGGCAAGATGTTTGCTGCAGTTTCCTTTTTGTACAATCATTTTCTGTTCTGTGCTTTGTGAACTAGTTGAGGATGGGGCTACTTCAGATTTTGTTGTCATTAGGGAAGAAAACCAGCAACAATCTCATGGAAGTTCATCAGATTATACACACTCGTTAAACAGGTTTATATGGGGCAGACCTCATGACTTCCTGAGGCTTTATTTTTCACCTGATAATATATTATGCCTGAAATAGTGATCTCTCACTAAGAATCTAAAACACCTCACAGCACATAATTTTTTTTCACTTTAATGTCCCAATAGCAACAAAAAAAAAATAGTGGGGATTTTCACTTATTTTTTCCATTGTTCTGACTAGTCTTGTAATACCGAGATAATAAATGTTTAGGATTATTTGCAGTTGTTAAAAAGGGGGAAAATATATTTTATGACAGTTGCCTCCATTGTAAAATACTGCCAGATACATATGTATAGAAAAGTTAAAGGACTCATTTTCTGTCTGTGGGTTGCACACTGTATCAAAGAGGCCTGAAGGTACATCTGTACAAAGTAATTGGCACTCAAAGAGAAAATGGTTAGCTTTCTACCAGTACATTGGGGTCAAACTCTTTTTTTATAATAATAATATAGTAAGACACTTAATATAACCTTGAAATCAGGAACTTTTAGAAGAGGTTAGGTGAAATGCACAGTGCTATAGCAACCATAAAGCAGATGTATTTCTTACCGTTCTTTTTTAAATTCAGCTTTTAATAAGTGGAATGGGTGATTTTTTTTTTAACTGCATATTTAATGACATTTTTTTATTTTAAAAAAAATTGGGAATGTCAAGATAACAATAGAATACATGGGCATGTAAGTGTGATTTTTCTTTTCTCTAACAGCTCATTTCCCATAACCTTTTCGAAACAATTCATCCCTTATTTCAACAAATATAGTATAACCACACATATGACTTGTAAAAAAAATTTTTAAGTGTAGGAATTAATATTATGCAAAGTTCTGTTATTTAAAAATTAATCTGTTAATTATTATGTAACCTAAATTTCTTCAGTTCTACATTCTTTCTGGAACAGGGAGACTGTTGTGGAGGTGGGGGGGTTTTGGGGGATTTTTCAGTTATAAAATAAAAAAATATATGGTTATCTAATACCAGTATTTTGTAGAACATAGTTACATGTTTGAGCGACTTGTGCATGATGTGGGATTGAACAAGGGCAAGGAACGTACACATTTATATGAAAAACAACCACACAGATATTTTAAGAGATTGAAGTTAAATTAATCAATTCTTTAAAATTTTGTATTCTTGTCGCAATTATATCTTCTGAGAATGAGCAGAAATTTTAATAGTTTGCTTTTGTACTGCTAGGCAATGATATGCAACATTTTGTTATGTTTTCTATAAAAACAGGGAGAGATAAGTGACCATGACAACATATTGGGAGAATATCAATCACAATAACCATTGTTGATTATATCTAAGGCTAGCATACATATTATTGCAAAAATACAGTTAAAATCCCTTTTCTTTCTTCTTTCAATAGAACACCATATTTTGCATCAAACACTTTGTAAGCTATATGAGGCATTGCAACATTATCAGATACTAGATTAACATGCTGAGTATTTTTCTGAGTTCTAAAGCTAAGTGTTCTCTAGAAATAGATGAAACTCCTTAAAGGCAGTGGAAACACTGATTTCAAAGGAATTAATTAAGAGCAAAAATTATTAAATATTAAGTAACATTGAAGTGTTCTTGTTTGAAGATAGTGTGTCAAATTGAAGAGTTTGGGGAGAATATAAAGCTTGAATTCATGTCTCAAACAAGTATTTTAGTAAAGTAAAAAACCACAGATTTTTAAAACTAATATGGATATATTTTTAAGTCTTGTTCAGTAGTATTTCTGGTGATACTTTGTACAAATATTAACCATCGGATCTTGCCGAAGTGTTCACAGACATTAGGGAAATATTGGTCTTCAGCAGCTATATTGGTGTTATAAATTCTTTATTTTGCAAAATCATTTTGCTTAGCCAAGTTATTTATATATTTGAGTTCAGGTATTCCTCAGTCTCTCTTAAGCATTTGATGAGATTGAATAATGAGAGATGATGAGAGGGAAATATCACCATAAGCAAAACAAGAACAAAGAAAAATGCTTATGTAGAACAGCTGTGCAGCATTTGTAGTTTTCCACGTTTTATGGTTTTCTCCATGCTGCTTTTTGGAAGCTCACTCTGCTACTTCTTGTCATATTTCTGCATCAAGACTCAATTATATTTTTTACACTCTGGATTCACTCAAGAACTGTTTTTATCATGTGAAGGAGTCTGTACTTTGCTCATGTGTGTGTCAGGGTTAAGCTGTTCTCATCAAGACTCTGACCAAGAAATCTCTCAGTAAGCTTGAAAATATCTCATAATTACTTAAGGTCAAATCTTACTCAGGTGGCTTATAACAAACTACCTAGCTTTGCATCTCTTTACTAGTGAAAGTTGTTTAAAGTTGGTAGAAGTGCATGCATGTTACATGGATAAAGGGTTGAATTGTGGTGAGAATGTTAAAGTTGCAGCCACAGAGAACTGACCATCCAGAAACTGTGCTTTAAAGTCCATGTTAATGTCCCTCAGCATTTCCCAAATTTTGGTTTTTGTCTTATGACTGATTACTAAAACAAAATAAATTATTTTGAAGTGTTAGTTTATTTTAGGTTTTGATATATAACTTAATCTGTACCAGACTTTTGATATATTAGCATGTTTTTTGTAAACAGGGTGTTTCATAGTAGTGGTATCTCATAACTGCAAATAGTTTCCTGACATTTAATCCTTTCAGTAAGAGGTATTGTAGGGTCTAGCTTTCAGTGCCGTCAGCATTAGTCAGATGGAATCATTCTAATATAAAAAGTTTATGTAATGGACATAAAAATCTATGTTTCTATTCCTTGTTTGATTTAAAGCTGAGTGGGAAAATAAACCTCAAAATGCTGTGTGTTTTTTGCCTTTCAGGGCTGGTTTAGCCCGGGTCAGGTCTTCGTGTTGGATGAATACTGCGCTCGCTACGGGGTGAGAGGCTGCCACCGCCATCTCTGCTATCTCGATGAACTGATTGAATATTCAGAAAATGGTTCTGTCATTGATCCAACCTTGCTCCACTACAGCTTTGCATTTTGTGCTTCTCATGTTCATGGTAACAGGTAATTTAATGATATATTTTTTAATCCATAGTATTTAAATGTGCAGTCTGAAAAGTTTTTATGGGCTTTTGCATTCACCAGATAGGGAGCTGCACACAACAGAAATCAGTTCATGAAAATTTCTTCAGGAGTACTGGAGGTTCCATACAGATTACTGCTAAAAGAAATCTCCTTTTAGCATTTACTGTCTTATTGCAATATGTTTTCAAGATAAAAAACTGTTAAAAGGGTAGTCTTCTTCATTCTGCATTTATATTGTGGCACTAAATGGTGTTTCCAGTAAACATTTTGAACAATTACGCAGTTTAAGGGAAATGTTGACTCTTTCTGCAGTCTGTAGCTTGGGAACTTATCATACTATACTGTGTTCTTCTGTCTGTGCTATCACAGAGAGCAATAACATATATTGAGAACTATCTGTAAGCCCCAGCCAGGAAGAGTCAGGACACTTCTGGAATCCTTTCCACTAGACAGGTAGACTACTTCAGGAGCTTTTGGCCACAGTGATTGTCTTGGGATGATATCTTCATTCCACTTGCAAGTGAAAGACAGAAAAAAAAAGTTGTTGCTTTGCTATTTTTGCACATTCTTTAAAGGAAGCACTGCTTCATCTATGTCTTATTCCAGACTGTGAGAGGACAAGCTCTGCTGCTGGAGAGCACCAATTGCAGATCAGGTCATTGGATAGCTCAGGTCAGGAGGGACCACAGGAGATCTCTAGACAAATTTCCCGCATGAAGCTGGGTCAGTTATGAGGTCAGACCAGGTTGCTCAGGGCTTTTTGCAGTCAGGACTTACCCATTTGAACCTGTCTAATTTCAGTATAGTTGTATCTGTTGCCTGCTGTCAGCCACCCAGTACACCCAGAGAGCCCAGTTCCCTCAGCCTCACATCAGAGCATGTGCTCTGGTGTCTGACCATCACAGTGGCAATTCAATAAACTTGCCCCCTGTCTTCCTTGTTTTTGTGTGGGCAGTGGGGCTGCCAGTCTATCAAATTATAGGAGAACATACATTTATGTCTATTTTGTGCACTAGAGTTGTAGACTGCTGTATGGAATATGTTTAAGAAGTCCAAAAATAACAAGGAGAAACCCAACAGATCCTCCCAACTGAGCCAATCCAGCCACTAGGGAAAAACATCACAGTCCCAAAAGGAAATTACTCTCAGGAAGTCCCCAAACTGAATCTTGATTAGGATTGGAAGAGAGATTTTCTGTCCAAGATGTATGCTTATGTTGCTTTGCTACCAGTCAGCCACAGAGGCTGTTTTACTTGTCCTCAAGCCAGAGAAGAAGAGCTAATCCTTAGGAAGGATATTGTTTCCTTCACTGGCTCAGACAAAGCCTCATCTGGAGTTGGGGATTTGTGACCTGAGTGATTTCATAGTGGCAGACTAACAATAATAATACATGATAATAATACCAAAATTGAAATGTTTTTGAATGTGCTTGAAATGCTGTCAAGAATCTTAACATTCATACCAGTAAGTTAGGAGATTTCTGGCTTTTATTTGGTAACCTATTCTCTGTAAAAGCATGCTTCTTCGTCAGTTCCTCAAGAACCTGACACATTCATATTTCCTATTGAGTCCAAGTCTTTGTTGTTTCTCGCCTTTTTATTATTGGATTCAACCTAGAAGATAAATATATGTGATAATTGCTCAAACTTATTTCAAGAATTCAAAAGAAAGGTAGATACATTTCTTTTTATTTCATAATTTGAGTGAAGGACAACCGTGCACGCAGTGCATGAAAATATCTCAGAGAGCACATCATTTACACAGTGGTAAGCACTCTGTATTCTGTCTATTCCTACAGTACAGATATTCTCTGAATAGCATTATGAGTGTTTTAGGAATAAAAGAAGTGTTGAACAGAGAGGGTCTGACTAGAACTGAGATATTGTAAAAAGGAAGAAAAAAGAAACATGAAAAAAGAAAAAAAGTAAGTCAAGGACAGAGGCAGACACACTCACTCAGAATGACAGACACAGAAATACGGGCACATAATATACCCACTCATTCATTTACCGCAGCACTAAGAAATAGTAAAAGGTAAAAGAGAATTTCACAGACAATGCACAACAGGCCAAAGTTCTAGGCTGGTCCCTGGCGTTACACATTTTTGTTTTGTAAGTCAGTCTGGGAATCAGAAAGACCACAGAACAAAGGCCTTTATACTCTGGCCATGATGTATTTAATTTATATGTCACCTTTGCTTCACAGAGGGATCTTAGACCCTCCCCAAGCCTGAGAAAGATCATCAAAATTGATCTTGAAGTCAGGTGGTGGAGGGGCATGTAGAAATGCAGCTGTATCTGTAGTTCATATTGTCCATTTATTTTATGTATGAATTTTAAAATAACAGGCAATCTAGTGACATCAGTCAAACAATCAGATACAGGTTTCTCTCACCTTCATTTCTGGTGAGGAGAATCTAAATCTGAATCAGCTTTGGCTCTTTCCACCCTTCATATATTTTCCAAATTCTTCCAGCATCTCTTTGAACCTTCAGGTGTCCCCTGTGCTGTTTTGCTGCACTGTAGGACGTGAAACATGTTTCATGCTGCAGGCTGTAATCTTGCCAATTTTAACACAGTACCGTGGGATTATTTCCAGACACCTGGAATAAACATGTAGAGGTTTTGTTGTCGTAGAGCTTTGGGGACATTTGGAGCACAGAAGAGACCTGAACTGAGCTCCAGTTGTAGGCTGTATGCACCAGACCTTGTCTCCTGATCTCAGGACTAGAGAACAGTCCCCAGCTTCTTTTTTCTCTTTCCTGAGATGAAGATATAGACAACAACTTCTGCAAGATTTATCAAGCATACTTGTACTTTGTGTGTCTTATGCCAGTGTTGTTGGTTTAGGAAAAGAAATGTTTACTCAGGGTCAAACACAATGTGCTGAGTCCTAGACTGAGAAATTCAAAGCTTATTTGTCCTTTTCCTTTCCAGTTTGTTAGTCCATTACAACTGCTTATGTAGAAAAGGTATTTCTGCTTTTGTAGATGATAGTCTTAAGACATTCTCTTCCTAAATAGCCAACAAGGAAAATATTTCACAAAAAAAATAGCTGTGCTGTGTTTAAACAAATATACATCCTTGGTTTTGAGTCAACTATTTTATTTTCTTCTGTAAATAAGATCATCTTTCATTGTACTTCTGGTGCTATGTGGATTTACTGTACCATCTCCTTTGGCTTCTCATCACCATGATGATTTTTCTTTTCAAATATTCAATGTTCATTCATATGAAATATTCTATATAGTCCTCATCAATATATAAGTTAGTTCACAAGCAAACTTTTTGCTCTGCACTTATGCATAAACTCATTGCTGGAGAAAGTGAAATGGGCAGAACAGGGAACTATAGGACATTCCTGAATGATGACTTTTCAGTCTAAACAGTGCAGGTAGGAGCTATTGTTTTTTTTCCCCATCATGTTCACTCTTGTCTACTTTTCATGCTGTGACTTCTATTTAGTCCTTCATATCTGAAATGAATGCTGGTGGGTATCACATGAAGTGTGAAGTGACTTCTTTCCACCTGCTGGGTTACAGACTGAATTGAAAAATTCAAAATTCAAGCATATTCCCTTGTTACAACTTTTCTTATTCAGAAAGATATCTGATGAAATGGAAGTTCATATATGAGAAGTGAATGTGAAAGTAAGGCTACAGAAATCAGTATATAACTAAGATGAATAGGTTGGGGGTTTTTGTCTTTATTGTAAAAGCTTCAGCGCTGCTGTGTTTCCATAGAAGAACAGTCATATTGAGTCAGGGTTCTTCTAGGCCAGTCACTCACCTGGCTCCAGTGTTGACCTCCTTGGAGTAAAAGAAGAGCAAGCATGTGCAATATTTCCTCTTTCCAACTCCCAACTCTTTGCAGCTCAGAATATGCCGTTTGGTAACCTGGAGTGAGTCTTTATTTCAAATACTTGTCCATTGCACCCCTGAACCCCTGTAAGCCCTTTTCACCCTCAACACCTCTGGCAGCAAATTCCACAGCTCAGCCTCCTCTTGCTTGAAGAACTATTGCTTTGAACTTGACTCCTACACATCTCATTTCATGCTCTGCTGCTATTGGAGAGGTAAAGAAGAAAAAAGAAAAATTCCTGTTCTGTTTCTTTGCTATTTAAGATTCAAGAATTGTAAGTGAACAATACAATGATTGGACAGAAGTTTTCCGCTAGTTGCTTATCCTTTTCTGGTGTTTCCCAGTGTTGATTTGCTCCTTTGACTGGTACTGAACAGGGACAATTTCATGGAATTATCCATCAGAGAACCAGGATCTCCATTCTGAATAACAACTGTGTTTTCCTAACGTTTTTCTGTGTTTGTCATTGTTTTCTGTAGTATTGCTACCTGATTTCATGGGGTCTTTCTGGAATTCCACACTGTGCTATATAGCTATCATTAAAATGACATTTTCTATCACCTCAGTTCTCAGCTGTTAGCCAGGTAATTTATAAATACTGTAAAATAGCTCAAGTCTCAGCACAAATGTGTGCAGAACTTTACTAATAACATACCTTCACAGCAGGTACTCACCTCTCTAATTTTAAACGTAAATGTGGGAACTTTTACTCAGGTGCTGTTTAATTGCCTTTAAAGCCTTTGATTAGGGACTGTCAAAAGAGCTTTGGAAATCCAGATATTTCATATGGCTCAGGTCACACTCATCCACCTGTTTCCAATCCTTTTAGAGAACTCCAAGGTCAGAAGGTAGGAGTTCTCTGTCTTACAGTTTCAAAGCCATAGAGACTTGACAATAGGTAATATTTACCAAAATTTCCTTACTTTTATCCTTAAATATCCTTATATTATAGTTCCTTCTAACTTTATGGGGTGCATGTCATACTTACTGGCCTGTATTTCCCTTGGCTCCTTGGAGACTTTTTCTGATATTTATCCTCCCGTTCTGATTCTGACTTCCCATTCCTCAGAAATTCTTGAGAATTTTCACATACCCACAGGTAATTCAGGGTCTGGCAAT